AAAAAAAAAAATTTATTTTACCATAACTTTTAGCTCAATTGGTAAGTTTGACATTGACATAATTAAATAGAAAATTTTATGACAATTAAAAAAATTGTATCGTTAAGATCAATATGCAGTCAGAAAGTTTTATAATTACTATTTATTGTAAATTTATCAGAAAAGCTCAATATTTTTTTGCATTTTTATCGTAATAGATAACTTAAATAGAACAGGGCTTATTTTAATGGGTAGTAGAACCTGAATTGGTAGTTGAAAACATAATTTGGGTAGTTGAAAATTCAAAATTGGGTAGTAGATTTTTTTCACCTGTAGGAAACTAGGTAAATTCTAATAATAAAATATTGAAGCCATAAATTTATATAAATAAAAATTGAAAGTTATCAAATTAAAAACGTTTTTTAACTTAAAATTTTAAGCACATATTTTAATTTTTAACAAATCGTAATGTATTTTTATTATATATTAGAAAAAAGACTGGCAACTGTATGATCGCATTGCGAACGTATAAGTTTTCTATAGACCTATACGTCGTAAGACGACTTCGTGTGCCCGATGCGCATTGTGGCATTGTGTAGTAGTCGATATAGTATAGTAATGTACGATATCAATAATGTCGTCGTGCCGTCGTTAAAACCCATTTAAAAAAAAATGAACATAAACTAAAATGGTAAACTTACCACACTTCATCAACTTTAAAGTACCAAAAAAATAGGTTAAAAATGAAAATTTGTACTGATTATTTTTAACATATTAAAAATCATATCAGTAATAATTTGAAAACAAATTTTTGTTTCTTTTAATTATTATTTTATATTTAATTAGTAATAATATAAAAAATTAGAAATGATAGATGAAGTCTACTTGCATAGTTGAAAACAACGCGAAAAGTTGATTTAGAAAAGTATATTTTTGTTTATGATGAAATTCCTTGTAGTCTAGTGCATTTTTTTATAGTAACAAACTGTTTTTATTGAAAATTATTGTATCAAGCCCTTTAAATTTTTATACACGTAAAAGTAAAGGAAAATATAACTTCTTTATTATTTTTATAATTTCTCCGTTTAAATTACAATATTAAATATCAATTTCATACTAAATTTAATAATTATAATTAGTATATATTNAATATCAATTTTATACTAAATTTAAAAACTAGAATTAGTATATATTCATATATTATATTTTAAAATCAAAGAACTACTTATCGGGATATAATTTAAGAAATAAGAGCTGATGTTGCTTTAGGAATAATCCACCAATTTCCTACTTAAAAAAAAAAAAAATTTGGTTGGGAATTTTTTCTGCTATTCGCCAAAATTACTCCTTCGTTGACTGGCCTAATTATTAAATAGACAATTTTATTAGAATTAAAACAATGTTATTTTTAAGATTAATATGCAATCAGGAAATTTTATAATTACTATTTACTGTATATTTATCAGAAAAACTCATTATTTTTTTCATTTTTATCGTAATAGATAACTTAAATAGAAGTTATAGTAATAATTTCCTAGTAAATTTTGTTGTTTGAAAAGATTCTAAAACATGTTACATGTTAAAAAATAATAAAATAATTTTAATATGAATAAGAAATTTCTTCTCGCAAGTGGCGACTACAGTGATGGGATCCTTGGTCTTTATTGAAGTTATTGAATCTAAATGAGATAAAAATCAAAGCAGTTGAAAATTTATTCTAACTTAAAAGAATTAAGAAAAAATGCAAAAAATTCATTGCCATACGCGGGTTGGAATCTCGTACCTCAAGCGTGTAAAACATAAATTTTACCAACTCAGCAACCGTACGTTGGTACCGTCTGATGAAAAAATTGGTTATTTAAGCTAGTTCATTAATTTTCAAAATTTTATGACAATTAAAAAAATTGTATCGTTAAGATCAATATGCAGTCAGAAAGTTTTATAATTACTATTTATTGTAAATTTATCAGAAAAGCTCAATATTTTTTTGCATTTTTATGGTAATAGATAACTTAAATAGAAGTAATAGTAATAATTTCCTAGGAACTTTTGTTGTTTGTTGAAAAGATTCTATAATTGAAATATTGAGAACTTAATTAATTTTAATGATTTACTTTAACTAAATGTACCAATCAAAACAAAGTTGTTAAAAAGATTTACTCAATTGAGTTTATTATAAAATTTGATTATATTTGTAAAAATCAATTGTTAATTCAGGAGAAAAAACAATCATTTTTTTTAGAAATGATTTATATAGCAACACGTTAGAAAAAAATTTGAATATTATAGTCTAATAGTAGCACACACAAACAGAGTAATAAAATTATTAAATTACAAAGTAAAATGATTTAATTTTGTAGTTGAAACCTATCATATCAAACTTCATTCGTTAATAAATATTTTGAAAACATTAGAAATTAATGATTTTAATTGTCTTTATGGAGACGATGTAATAACTAACTGTTTAATTGATAAATTAGAATTTTTTTTTCAATTTTTGAGAGTAATATCTTCAACTAGATACGAATTGTAGTAATTTGACGTATTGTTGAAAAAAGTAGGTCAAGTTAGAGCAGAGAAAATAAATGATAGTCACAAAAAAATATCTTCTCGGCTTTGCATCGAAGCGAAAACTTAAAATATAGTAAAATAATTTTAATACGAATAAGAAATTTCTTCTTGCAAGGGGCGACTAAAGTGATGGGATCCTTGATCTTTATTGAAGTTATTGAATCTAAATGTGATAAAAATCAAACGAGTTAAAATTTATACTAACTTAAAAAGAATTAAGAAAAAATGCAAAAAATTCATTGCCATATGCGGGTTGGAACCTCGTACCCCAAGCGTGTAAAACATAAATTTTACCAACTCGGCAACCGTACGTTGCTTCCGGCGGTTGAAAAATTGGCTATTTAAGCTAGTTCAAATTTCAAAGTTATTTTTCTCGACTTAAAAGAAACAAACATATTTAAATAAGTTTAACTATCTATACTATATCAATTTTAATTTATATAATATTTATGAAAATCTGTACTCCCCTTGTCAGGTATTTTAAAATAAAATAAAATACAAAACCCAGAATTTTAACACAAAAATAGCATATTTTTGCATACGGTAGTCATTTTTACCATGAAGACAAATCCAGAGGTCAAATTTTTTTTTTTCACATTAAAGTATATTACATAAGCTTTAATTTAAGATATATTTAAAAGTGTCAGTATTTCCGGAATACTTTCAAAAATTAAATTGAAAATATCGTAGTAACAATACGCATGTTTAAAGTTTTGACCCCCCTTGTTAAAGGGGTATGATCCGATTTACAAAAAAAGCGTGCCAGATGAAAGGGGTATATAAATATTTATTATAAAAAAATAATAATATTGATCCATACATTTTTCCAAAAGTTATATAAAATATAAATTAAATAATATAACATATAAAATCGAGATTTTTTTCACGGAAATCGTACGTTTTTCTTTAACTTTGATGTCCGTTTTCACCACGAAGACAAGTCCAGAGGTCAAATTTTTTTTTTTCAAATTAAAGTATATTACATAAGCTTTAATTTAAGATATATATAAAAGTGTCAGTCTTTCCGGAACATTTTCAAAAGTTAAGTTGAAAAAGTTCTACTTTCTATACGCATTTTAAAAGGTTTGCACCCCCCCTGTATAAAGGGAAATGGTCCGATTTTAAAAAAAAGTATGTCGAATGAAAGAAGTATATATAAAGTATTTATCATTAAAGAATAAAGTTGATTCATGCATTTTTTAAAAAGTTATAGCAACATAATGTTAAAAAATGTAAAATATAATATCAAGAATTTTTTCACAAAAATAGCATATTTTTGCATACGGTAGTCATTTTCACCATGAAGACAAGTCCAGAGGTCAAATTTTTTTTTTTCAAATTAAAGTATATTACATAAGCTTTAATTTAAGATATATATAAAAGTGTCAGTCTTTCCGGAACATTTTCAAAAATTAAATTGAAAAAATTCTACTTTCTATACGTATTTTAAAAGGTTTGCACCCCTCCTGTATAAAGGGAAAAGGTCCGATTTAATAAAATTATGTCGAATGAAAGAGGTATATATAAAGTATTTATTGTTAAAGAATAAAATTGATTTATGCATTTTTTAAAAAGTTATAGCATCATAATGTTTAAAATGTAAAATATTATATCAAGAATTTTATCAAAAAAATTGCATATTTTTGCATACGATAGTCATTTTTACCATGAAGACAAGTCCAGAGGTCAAATTTTTTTTTTTCAAATTAAAGTATATTACATTATCTTTAATTTAAGGTATATATAAAAGTGTCAGACTNAAAGTATATTACATTATCTTTAATTTAAGATATATATAAAAGTGTCAGTCTTTCCGGAACATTTTCAAAAGTTAAGTTGAAAGAGTTAATTTTTTGTACAAAAGTTACCATTTTGAAACCCTTCCTGTGGGCTGTTAAAGGGTCAAATGTTCACAAAAAAATATCGAAAATTAGCGATTTTTAAATTTGTAATTTTTTGGGGGATTTCCACGTTTACGAGGATTGAGGAAATTTTTTTCAAATTTTGAAGGTAATGTCTTCAACTAGATACGCTTTGTGATCTTTTGAAGTATTGTTGAAAGAAATCGCTTCGATTAGAGCTGAGAAAAAGTGGTAACATACACAAAAATAGAAAAAAACACATCATAGTAAAGCAAATACAACTTTTAAGTTTTTAATTTTGTTCTATTATTAATAGATCCCTAAAGCACAGTTTGATGTTATTTTAACACGATAAAATGTAAGTATGTTCAATAGTATTAATAATTCGCGTATATCTATTAAATCAATGAAATGTCCCTACCAATGCTCATTTAACTATCGTTTTCAACTTGTGTATTAATAGTTTGACTAAAAATAAAAATTTTGAAAGGTATACTTTAATATTTACTTAAAATGCGTTTTTAAATTTAAAAAATATAAAATAATTTTTATTATGTAGATAATTATATATTCATAAACTAAAGTAACCTACATATTGTCATTAGTTATTCAAAATTTAAAACTTTCAGTGAAAATGATGGTGAGTAATACACTTTACCTAAAGTGCCTATTCGAAATTTAAAAAATTATTTTGTTTTCTTGCAGAAATGGCAAATTATATCTATTTTATTCATAATATCGTGTTTGATATTTAATGAAGGTAAATTCTATTTTACATTATTTAAGTCTGTTAAGTGTGGTAAGTTTACTATTTTAGTTTATGTACTTTTTTTTAAAGCGATACATGTAGGAATTGTTTAGTATTAGCCATGGTGTTATCTTCCTAGTAATACAGGATGATCAAGTAAGGATAAGATTAAATTTTTGAAAAGGAAAAAGTGGATTATTAAAGTTAAATATTTTTTATTCCATTCAAGCTTAAAAACTAAAACTTCTTTAAGACGATTTCCATTTTTATTATTTTAATGATATGTTTGAATAAAGTCTACCTATGGGTTGAGGGATTTAATATGGCAATTTTTATACAAAAAGAAAATTGATTTGAATTTTTTTTGTTTATAATTTTTATTTTTTATTTCAATTTTATACTGTTATTAATTTTTAAAAAATGTACAATTAAATGATTTTTATATTTTAAAATATCTTATAGTCTATAGTAATGAGGTTACTAATATTCATTGAATTGATATGGATCTAATTTACATTAAATATTATTTTAAAATAATTTTTTAATTATTTCCTTCTCTAATCGTGAACATTTGAACTATCTTAAATTGCCTTTGTATTAATTTATCAACAAGCACGATGTACGATTACACAAGTCATCTACTCATGGAGTACGAGGTTTGAATCTCGTCGAACATAAAGACTATTTTTGCTCTTTGTTCTTAGTTTTTTTGAAAATTGGAAAAAAATTATTATAATTAGAAAAATATCTCAAAATTTTGTTTTTTAAAACATCTATCCTAATAATAATTTATTATTAGTCTATTAATTCAAAATTAACAAAAAATTATTTTCTGAAAAGTAGAACTAATTTGATTTTTGCATCCAGCGCTTCAATCTTATACACATTTGCCATTAAGGTAACAAATATGCAACTACATTATAATTTTTGTTAATTTTATATGAATCTAATTTACATTGAAATAGTTTTTAATTATTTCCCTTCTCAAATCAAAAAAAAGGGCTTTAAACTTTGAAACTACCTTAAATTGCCTAATAATTTATCAATAAGTGCAATGTATGATTACCAGCTCATAATATGAGCACTTTTTTTTATTTTTTTTTGAAAATGGGAAAAAAATTAAAAAATTTAGACAAATATCTCAAATTTTTGTTTTTTAAAACATCTATGCTAATAATAATTTAATATAAAATACTAAACACAATATGTTTTCTTTAAGTTTGCTTCTTATGACAGTCCAATGAGTAACTTAAGTGCTATAAGGGATTACTAAAGACCATCCAAGTATGTTTAAGTTATTTTTAACTCAGTTTTTGAAGATGATTCTAAACGTCAGCTATTTTACACCTGTATTAAAATAAAGCTATTACAATGTACTATAAGATTTTTAAAAAAATTGTCTTGGCGACTGTAAAATATACAACTACATTATTGTATAAAAAATTCTCATGGAGACTGTTCTGCTATGAGAAATAGACCGTCAAAATACAAAAATTCATAATTAATTTAAAATAAAATCCTTTTTATAAGTATGTTGAGTTGTTAATATATGCACGAATAATAGGATTATAGAACTCGAATTTACGCCGAATTAAACAGAAAAATATTATCAATGGTCTTCAAAATGATATATTTTTTAATCATCATCGCTAAAAATGTATTTTGCTAAACCAAATTTATGCACTGATTTCCAATTTGAATTTAGAGTTTTTCGGGCTAATCTAATTTTTGAGACAGTAATTAAAAAACGAGTAAAATAAATCTTGTATCTTGTAGACCAATATTAATTCAAAATTAACAAAAAATTATTTTCTGAAAAGTTGGACTTATCTGATTTTTGCATCAAGCGCTTCAATTGTATACACGTTTGCCATTCATATAACAAAATATACAACGACATTATAACTTTTTATAATTTCTCCGTAATTATTAGAATATTAAATTATTTATCATCAATTTTTATACTAAATTCTATTACTATAAATAGTATTTATTCATTTAATATACTTATAAATCATATAACTAGTAATTAGGATATAATTAAGGAAGTGGGAGTTGATGTTGCTTTTGGAATAATCCATCAATTCCTTGTAATTTATTGTATTAATAAAGAAGGTTTCAGATATAAAAGCTAAGTCAATTTTGAGTTCATTTAGTGTATATAAAAGTTAATTTTTGTGGCTGTATGAACCGTTAGTATTCCATAACATGATGAAAAAAGATTTTGAGATTTGCAGGTTATTAGACATTATTTTTTGATAATGGATGGTTAAATACTATAGTCAAAAAGAAGAGAAATGAATTTATTATAGATTTAAACTCGTTTAGGAAATCAGAAAATAATTTATTTTGATCTTGAGAATTTAAGTCATATGGAGTTGCCTCCTTATTATGAATAGACGAAACGTGTGAGGGTTGAGCTCTAGATTGACGATTTTGGTTTATCTTTGACATGCGGATACGTATGTAAATAAATACGACAGCCCCAGTAGTTTGCTGGGTGATCGTTTGGGCCTAAGGCACATTTATCGGGAGTGTCCTCTTGGTTTTTCACATTCTGATGATGCGTGATTTTGGCCACAGCGAGATTTATAAGCACAGTGACTCTACTCTTGGCAATTCTAGCATTGTATAATGTCATGTCGCATATGTGGTTCTTATATATTCTTTCGCATGTGTAATAATTGTATAAAAGAGAAAATGTCATTATTAAGTTCTGAGAGCTCAAGGTCAACAAAAAATAAAGTCAAGGGGGCAGTCGTTGTAGTAAATTTACTACTTGATGAACAGCAAAACCAATATTATCTAATCTTTCTTTATATTATTGACAGAGGTATCTGGAGTAAGTTTTTTATTACAATTCTAAAAGCTTTTTCCTCGCGTAATTGGTTTGAATAAAATTATGTAATTCTTTTCTTTTAAAAAAATAATAGTTTTTCTATAAGAATCTGGTGTAAGTGTTTAAATTTTCAAGCTACTGAGAGAGACTTTGAAATAGAAGTTCTCTGAACCATATTTATCAGTTTATTATTAAATCAGTAAATATCAATTTCACTATATATAATTTCTAATATAAATATTTATTCACATATTATACTTATAAATTAAAGAATTACTAATCAAAAATAATGAAGGAAATAGGAATTAATTTTGCTTTTGGAATAATTCACCAATTTCTTTAAATTAAACACTATAAACTATATATATTCATATATTTTATTTTAAAATCAAAGAACTACTAATCAGGATATAATTAAAGAAACACTAAATGAAACACTATCTACAGATTCGCCTCGAAGCGCTTCTTATGATGGTGATTTTAATCACTGTCAGATATTATCTATACTTGTCCCAACTATGCCACGTCGACATAGTGCCGTGACTCCACGTTCTACCATTTTTTTGTTAAAACTGCTAAAACTTTTTGAAAAATGTATTAATTAAAACGAATTTTTCTTTAAGTACTAAAAATATATCTTACATCAAATGTACTCATAAAGTGTTCAGAATAACAATTTTTTTATGAAAAGGTAAAATTATTGTGCTAATGGTAATCGAACAAATTTTATTTGTTCGTTGAATAAATCTACGTTTTCTATAATTAGGAGTAGATTTTTGTGTATTTAAAAAGCATAATAATTTCCAAGGTTTTGTGTATATTTAGAAGTTATTAAAGCGATCACGCATCTAGAAGTTTTCTAACATATGTAGCTGTCCAATTTTAAGCACAATTATATATAAATATTATATGAAACAATTTTTAATAAAATAAAAAATTTTTCTAAATAATTATTTATAGTTAATCAAGAAAAATTAATTATAATTATTTGAAAAAATATTGTTTAAATTTTTTTATGTCTTATTATTTGAGTAAAACATGTTATTCCATTAGTTTTTAGTATAATAATTTCAATAAATTTTCACAATAATAATATAATATATGTATATATTATATAATAATATATAAATACATTATTTTAAAGTTAAATTAAATTTTCCTACTCTTTTTCATCATAAAATATATGATTAAAATTTTTTTTAAGAAGATTAGAATATATTATTTAATGATACTATACATAGGGTAAATAATTTATCTTTGACCATCAAATTTTATTTATTATAATTTATTTATCGATTTGTTGTAAGTGGTTAAGTGATTTTTAGGCCTATCCTTTTTCCGTTACAATAACATCAAAAAAAAAGATCACAAATCGTATCTTGTTAAAGATAGTACCCTCAAAAATTGAGAAAAATTCCCTCGTTTCCCGTAAATGGGGAAAACCTCCAAAAAAATTACAAATTTAAAAATCGCCAATTTTCGAAATTTTTTCAACTTTTTTTACTTAAAAGTGCTATAACTTTTTCAAAAATGAACATCATATCAATATAATTTTTTTTTATAGATGCATAATATTATTACCTTGCATTTTGTATATTTTTTTCATAAATTTAACCCTTCACCTGGCCACAAGGGGGGATTTAAAATGACAACTTTTTCACAAAAAATTAACTTTTCAACTTAACTTTTGAAAATGTTCCGGAAGGTATGACTCTTTTATATATATCTTAAATTAAAGTTAATGTAATGTTCTTTATTATGCAAAAAAAAAAATTTCGGACATTATTTTATCTTCACGTTGTAAATGGTTAACGAATTTTTTGTGTGAAAATTTTTGATTTTGTATTTTATCAAATTTTTTTTATCTCTAATTTAAACCCAACCCAAACGAAAACCTAAACGTGACTAAAGTGATCCTATAATAAAAACTATCGTAATCGAGTATTATTTTAAGTCCCAATTTTAATTTTATAATAAACTTAAACATAATAATTGTAATTGAAAGTCTTTCTCTTAATTAGATATTTTTTAAGTTATTAAGATAAAATTTAAAAATTGTACCAACTTAATAATAATTGTTCTCATTTAGCGATCCAATATAAAATTGCGGAAGACAAACAATTTAGCCCAGTAGAAGAAAGTACGACGAGAAAAGTTGAAGAAAATAAATACTTGGAATTATTAAAAAATACTTATGAAAATGGATATAAATTGGATAAAGATACAACAACGGCTGCTGCTGCTAATGGGTATTTAAAATGCNGCTGCTGCTGCTAATGGGTATTTAGAATGCTTAAAATATTTACATGAAAATGAATGTCCATGGGATGAAAGCACAACAGATGCAGCTGCAAGTAATGGTCATTTAGAATGCTTAAAATATGCTTATGAAAATGGTTGTAAATGGAATGAATTAGATATTGTGATAAGTGCAATTACTATAGGTAATCTAGAAATATTAAAATATGTTCACGAAAATGGATACGAATTCAATGAACTCACAACTACTCTGGCTGCCAAAGGTAATCTAGAAATTTTAAAATATGTCCTTAAAAATGGATACCCGTGCAATAAAAGTACAACTTATGTTGTTGCGATAAGTGGCAATCTAGAAAATTTTAAATATTTACATGAAAGTTCATGTCCGTGGGATGAAAATACTTTACAAGTAGCGGCTTATAATGGTCATTTATATATTTTAAAATATGCACATGAAAATGAATATCCGTGGGATGAAAGAACAACAAAAGCAGCTGCAAGTAATGGTCATTTAGAATGCTTAAAATATGCATATGAAAATAAATGTCCGTGGGATGAAAGCACATCAGAAGCAGCTTCTTATAATGGTCATTTAAATATTTTAAAATACGCACATGAAAATAAATGTCCGTGGGATAATAGCACAACAGAAGCAGCTGCATCTAATGGTCAATTAGAATGCTTAAAATATGCACATGAAAATAATTGTCCGTGGGATGAATACACAACAGAAGCAGCTGCAACTAATGGTCATTTAGAATGTTTAAAATATGCATATGAAAGTAAATGTCCATGGGATGAAAGTACAACAGAAGCAGCTGCCTTTAATGGTCATTTTGAATGCTTAAAATACGTACATGAAAACAAATGTCCATGGGATGAAAGCACAACAGAAGCAGCTGCTTATAATGGTCATTTAAATATTTTAAAATACGCACATGAAAATAAATGTCCGTGGGATAAAAGCACAACAGAAGCAGCTGCATCTAATGGTCAATTAGAATGCTTAAAATATGCACATGAAAATAATTGTCCGTGGGATGAAAGCACAATAGAAGCAGCTGCAATTCATGGTCAATTACAATGCTTAAAATATGCATATGAAAATGGCTGTAAATGGAATCAAAATATAATGAGAAATGCTATTGTAAAGGGTAATCTAGACATTATAAAATATATTCATAAAATGGGATGTATTTTTGATGAAGGGTCAATTCGAGCAGCTGCAGCCAGTGGTTGTTTTGATTGTTTAAAATATATACATAAAAATGGTTATAATAAATGGGATGAAGGCACAACTAGAGCTGCTGCTGCAAGTAGATGTTTTAAGTGTTTGAAATATGCCCACGAAAATGGATGTGTATGGGATGAGGGTACAACTCGAGCTGCTGCTGTAAGTGGTTGTTACGAGTGTTTGAAATATGCCCACGAAAATGGATGTGTTTGGGATGAGGGTACAACTAGAGCTGCTGCAGCAAGTAATTGTATAAACTGCTTGTTTTATGCTCATTATAAGGAATGTAATTGGGATGAAGATACAATAGTTGCAGCAGCTGTTCATGGTAATTTAAATTGTTTAGCATATGCTCGTAGACATGGATGTAATTGGGTTGAAGGTACAATGAGAGGAGCTGCAGCAAATGGGCATTTAAACTGTCTCAAATTTGCTCACAAAAATGGGTGTCCGTGGGACGAAGGCACTACAAGGGAAGCTGCTGCGAGTAATTATATTAAGTGTTTGATATTTGCACATGAAAATGGATGTAAATGGGATAACGGAACAACGAGTGGAGCTACTGCTAATGGCAATTTAGACTGCCTAAAATATGTTCGTGAAAATGGCTGTGATTGGGACGAAGAGACAACAAGACTTGCTGCTGCAAATGGTCATTTGTTATGCTTAAAATATGCTCATGAAAATAATTGTCCATGGAGTAGTGGTACCATTTCTGAAGCGACTCGAAATGGTCATACTGATATAATTAACTATGCTACCGAAAATGGATGTCCTAATTAATTTCCTGTTTAAATATCATAATTTTTATTATATTTATTTATGTTAACAAATTTTATTTTTAAAATAAAATAACCGGAATGGTTTTATCCAATATTTATATTTTATCTAAATGAAATCAAAAAAAAATTTTGAAAGTATTAAAATGTGTAATATTAATAATAATAATGATAATGATTATAATAATAAAATATTTTGAAGTATCAAATAAATTTATATGAATAATTTATTTTTGTAACATCAGATTAATTAATTCCTTTACCTGTTGATATTTTGTTTAAAAATTACCTTTAAATAAAACGTACACTAGAAATATGTACTTCTTAACAAATGAGCTTAAAATCTCCTAATAAATTATTTTATTAGTGGTCAATTAATAAATATATTATCACCTAATCAAATTATTTAATCAGAAATTATTTAGTGTTAACAAAATAATTTCTAGTTAAAAAAAATACACAGCTTTCATTTAAATACATGTATTCCAGTCAGTTAATTATAATTATATGAATGATACAAATAAACTCATAATTGATAAACAACGATCTAATGTTTATAATATTTGTAAAAAATTGAATTTTCTACTATTTATGAATAATATCAATTCATAGATTATAGATATATAGATATGTTTTCAACAACATAGAAATATACCTGTGCGACACGAAATACTCGGACGACCAATCGCCGAATGTAATCACGTCTCTAAAGGTTCCTTTAAATGAAATTTAAAAAAATAACGTTTTTAATGGATTGTAATTTATTTACCGAATTAAATATATATTCCAATATAATCACTACAATGAATTTTCTTATATCTATGGTTAGTACACTTATAGTTAGAATAATATAATGAACACAACACAAATATATTAACAATGAATGTGTTAAAACTTTCATGGATTGTCTTGTTGCTTGAAGTGCTTGAGGATATATTAACAAATTAATATTTAAACANTATTAACAAATTCATATTTAAACAAAAACAAATATGTATATATTCTGACCTTGCCTTGTACCAGAATGAATATTGATGATGTATCATTTACTGTATTGAGCCCGACGCAATCGAAACACAGTGAATTGAACCATAAAAACCATCAAAAGCAAGCCGTACAAAAAAACAACCGATTCCGTGACACTACACATGAGTACTCTAGGCAGGCCGGTACGCGAATGACGCCTTCGCGACTACCGCCACACACTACCCCAACAAGTAAACCAGTTGTGATAGGTCGCGCTCTTGTTGAAGAGAATTAAAAGCCGGCGTTCACCCACCAAACTGTTGCGTCACGACCGAACAATACCTATGCTTTTACCACACTATATCGCATTGTTTTAAACCGGTAAAGCTTCTAGATTATTAATACCATAACGTCTCTTTAGATCATGTATGTTTCTTTTTAATATAGCCTATACATTAAAGAGCCTTGAGTGCTAAGAATTAAGTTTTTAAATAATAACATTTTTTTTTTTAAACCAAATCTAATGGTATAAAAAAAATAGGGTTGCCATTTATAAATCTGAAGTTGATGTAAGTTTTAATCAAAATAAATGGTAGTAGAAAATAAATTTTTCTTGTGGAACAGCTCATCAAAGAACCGTAATGAATAAACAGAAATATTTTATAGCACTAATATTTTTGAAAATATTACGTGAGGCAATGTTAGCATATGCATCATTATTCGTATTTTTCAAACATTAAACATTTATTATCAGCTTAAAAAATTAACTTACTTAATTGTTTTTAGTTACATAATACGTCTATATTTAAATTAATTAATTTACAACTCATTTATTTTTTTGAATTTTTCTTTTTTATTTATATATATATATAGGTTGATTTTTTTACTATTACCCTCACAATTACTTACAGAATGAAAATAATTAAAAATTTTTTTTTTTGTTTACTTTTAGTAACATATTATTTATGAGATATCAACTATGTAATACTTTTAAAGTTCATAACTTATGCATTTTAAGGGTGTCATCTTTTTTTTTTCAAATGGGAACACGTAATCGAATTTAATAAAATTTTTAGGCTTTGATGTAATCAGGGTAATAAATGTAACAATTAATTAGTAATCGCTAGGTATTTTAATTAACAACAGTATTAATATTATTTTCAATAATAAGATAATATTTTGGAATATCTTCCGTTGCTTAAAAAATGGGTCAACGTGACACATGAAAAATCAAAGATANAATATCTTCCGTTGCTTAAAAAATGGGTCAACGTGACACACTTGAAAATTCAAAGTTAAAATCAGTGTATCACTTGTTTTTTTCCAGCGCCCGATTGACCGGTTCGCACCCTCGTCGGCCATCCCACATAGCGTGACCTGTCGGACGTGAAGAGAAGTGCCGCGATCATCATCCGGTTAACCCGGAAATGTGATGCGACCACGACAGCTTTTATTTTAATAGTAAATGGCATTTATTTACAATTTTATTCGTTTTTAAATTTAAAATTAAAAATTTTCAAAATTTTGAGCTAACATACATATATATTTCACGATATATTACAAATACAGTTAGCTATTGGTTTTTTATGACGTCGCAATCACTGGTTCGGAGTGTTTATTGTCAATTATAACTATAATTCTCTATTATCAATTGACATGCCATTTATATTTCCAGTTGGTGTACTTATAAACTCACAATAATGTGCCTTACTACCATTGATAATAAATGCTGCATATGTTGTGATTTCGTTCATAATTTAAATTTAATATTATTCGTAATGTGTATCACAAAATAAAACAATTGTCTTAAAATGATATCATAGCATAATTATTAATGTAATTAATATAATGTATGTATTTTTTCAGTTTAGGATTAATATCCATACTATAAATGTAAACACTGTAAATTAATCTACAAAGATAATGTATTAAGTAACAGTATCCCTAAGAAAAATCAAATTTACCATAACCAATGTAACATATTATCCCTGCTTATAATTTTCATTTCAATAAAGATAAGAGTCCCTGGTGGTCAATTCTTACATTTTGAGTACATATATAGATCATAGATTTCATATAAAAAGCCGTAAAAGCTATACAACTCTCTCTCATTTCCACCTTTCAATTCAAGAATCAAATGCACCAATTGACCACCAGGCTCAAAAATATTCATAACTTGTCAGTCTTGTTCATTCGATTCCTAAGGAAACAATCATAAAGTAAGTGATACATTGTCATTCCAATAATTTAGGAATTATTTAATCCGAGAAAAGAATGACAAAACAATAATAATTAACCTATCTTTTCTTATTCAAAGTTATTAACTGGTTTGTCAAGAGAATTAATAAATGCGTTCGAAGTGTTTGACCTAAGATTGACATTGACCGACGCATTTTCTTATTACGTTTCATAGTTTGCCGACCTAATCTCATGCCCTTGAAACGTAAGATTATTCAAATGATTTACCAAATTTTACAAATTTAATACATATATTAAATTTCAATACTCATCATAACCCTTTTATCTGATTGTATTGTCATTCTCTAAACCCTCGGACTCCACGACCCCAATAAAATTAAAGAAACTGAATTATAGTAACCGAAAGTAAGATAATTAAATTTATTCAAGTGATCAAAACTCCAAATTAATTATTCAACACACCCAACATAATTTTACTTTCTTATCATTTATTAAATTCTTACTTTTGGCTCACTATACATATTTGCGAAAATCTGTGTAGTTTTTTAAGATTATAACAATATTTTATTGTTGTTCTATCAATGTACTCATAATATTTATAATGATATTGAAAAAAATTTTGACACATGCATAAATTAATAACATAACAAGTTATAATAATTCATATATTGTAACCATACATAACATAGCGATTTAAATAACCAATTGAATATGCAGTTATTAATAACAACATTGTAACAAGTAATAATAACATAAGTGATACACATAAAATTAGACAAATAAATTATACATTAAAAAAGTTATACATGTGTAATCTATACTGGACCCAACAATGCCACGTACCCAGTGTGCTGGTTTTTTTTTAATTATGTTGTGAAAAGTTTTGTATCATGCCCTTTATTTTTTATATACGATTTCAACGTAAATAAATAACGTAACATAGAACTATTTTATGATTTCTCCGTAAAAATCACAATATTAAATTATTGAATATAAATTTCATACTAAATTTAATTACTTTAATAAATATTTAATCATATATTATAATCAGAAATTTAAGTTGCAAATGTTTTCACACTGGAAAAATGGTACTCGTATTATCCAACAACTACAATAAGAGTATCAAGGCTAGTAACGAGAGCTTATACCAAGCGTGAAAAAATTATTCTTTTAATGAATAACAATTTATTTTTACAAAAAAGTATTATTGTATTCAGTTTTTTTTATATGTAAATCTATTATTGTAGTCATTATTTAAATTTTATTCATGGAAAATTTATTTAATGGATATTATAAGTATTTATTCATATTTTATACTTATAAATAAAAAAAAAAAACTAATCTAGTTATAATCGAAGAAATATATGTTGATGTTGCGTTCGAAATAATTCATCAATATTTTAAAATTGAACACTATCTATAAATCGGAGCATTTTTTATGATAATAATTTTAATCACTGTCAGATATCATTTATACTTGTGCCAACTATTTCACATCTATAATATGCTGCTACCACACTGTGTTACCGTTGTTTTTGCATAGAGTTTATGACTTTAAATAAGTCATAATTTGAAATTCATAGGAAATATGATTCAGATTTTGTTTTACTAAACGATAAGTCTAAGAAATCTTAAGAGGAGTATGACATTAATGTTTAGATATACTTGGAGTTTCATTTTGAAGAATATTTTTTAACAAAGCTTTTGATAATTTATCGGATAGTTTACCTGAAGATAAAAATTAATTGTTTGAGTGGTTTGAAATCTTTAATTTCGGCTGTAAAATCCGAATAATAAACAATTTTATATTATTCGGAAGAAAATGTATTAAACTTGTTTAATTAACTAAGTGCATTTAATATGCACTATTAGTATAAATAATAATTATACAATAACAATATCATATAGCAATATATCCATTTATTTTATTTATAATAAGGCGAAAAATGGTGGCATGACTAAACCTAATAAAAAAAGGTCCCTTGAGTTTTACATGAAGTCTCAATTTTAATTTTTTGATAACCTTAAGAATAAAAATCCAGCACAGTGGGAACGGGCATAGTTGGGTCGAGTATAATGATATGTGACAGTGATTAAAATCACTATCGTAAAAAACGTTTCTATGCAAATCTGTAGATAATGTTTAATTTAAAAAAATTAGTGGATTATTCTAATAGCTACATGATCTTCTATTTTAATATTTTAAGTCACGTTTAGAATAGCTATGCTTCGATAATTATTACAGTCTTGCATACTTCCCTTTTTATGGATTGGCTTATAGCTGTTTTCCATTCCTCTGGTATTTTTTCAGATTTCTAAGTCTGTTTACATAACTTAATCAACAGTACTTCTCCTCCATAGTTTCTTCGCAGATTCTGTTAAACCACGGTTTGGTTTTTAACTTTTTCTTTCTTAATATCATTGTTGATACACAATTAATGGCAATTATTATTTGCTCTCAGTTCCTATTCACATTTGCGTCGGCTATCACATCACTTTCTTAATTTTGTTACTAAATTCATGGTTTAGTGATTGATCTTTCAGTTTGTCAATATCAAACCATCCTATATTTGTCACACGTCGTTTATTAAGTTTTTTAACATTCATTCTCGTCAACATACCGTAAAACATACCGTAGTCCATGTCAAGATTAAGGAACAGGGATATAATACACGTGAGTAATTAAGTTACTCGCGCAATAAAATAAATATTACAGTCAATGACAGAAGAAATAATGGAAAAGAGCCAACACCGATCTAACGACAATTTCAAATCAATAACGGTCAGTCTTTTTGGAAGGAATCAATACTGATAAACAATTCAATTTTAATTATTTTCTCTTTTATCGCCTTATCTAGCGATCAATGGCAAAATAATGAGTGGTTGACACCACTGTGTCAGGAAAAGGTTCTTTCACGCGATAAAATAAATAAGTAGACATATCAAAAATCATAAACGGTCCACCTTCGAATTTGTGACGTTACACTTTTTTGAAAATTAACATAGTAAGAAAATAAAATGCTAAATAGTTTACAGTCAAAATTACATCTAAAATCATTGTAGGAGTAAACTTCTAAATTAAAATGGATTTTAAGATTTACAGTTATCAAATTCATACATTGATTTATTTTCACTATTTAACGGTCTGTTTGAAACACTACTATAACATATAGTAGAGGCTTTTGAAAATTGTTTGTTGAAGCAAACGATGTTATATTGAAAAGCGCTCTGATGTTTAGTATCGCTAATGATTTTACGATAACTAATAATATTGCGCGTTTATTAGGTTTTAACGAACAAGTTTATGAACCGAATATACGTCCTGTTTCAACAAAAATTGTTGATATTTTACAAACATATATAATAGTATATATGTCGAGTGTAATATAGCGACCGGTTCATATGATAATACATAATTAAGCAAAGCGATCCATGCATTTTTTCCCTCCATCCCGGCAGAACATAAAATTATAGAAATGTCTAAACTGTTAGTTTATTATACGTTACATTTAACCACCATATACAACCGAATGGAATATATACATTTAATTGAAAAGTTGTATATTTTTTTTAACTAGAAATTATTTTGTTAACACTTAATACTTTCTGATTAAATTAATTGAATAGTTGCTAATATATTTATTAATCTAACAACCAATAAAGTAATTTATTAAAAGATTTTGAGCTCGTTTGTTAAGAAATACATATTTCTACTGTACGTTCTATTTAAGGTAAGTAGATCTCCTTTAATTTTTAAACAAAATATCAACTGGTAAAGGAATTAATTAATCTGATGTTGATGAATACGTTATACAAAATTTTATTTATTTAACCAGTGATTGATTTGGGAAAAATAAAATAGAGCTCCTAAACTAAGTCTCAAAAAAAGTGTTCTTGAGTATTAATTATTACCTGTGTGACAATATATTACAGAACTTCAGCCATAATAAGCGCAATAGCAATTTCTATAAATACATAAGCTAAATAAAATAATTTAAGTATTACGCAAATTAATATTATAATAATAATAGAATCAAAAATTGATTGATGTCACTCAATTTGATACTTTAAGGTATTTTATTATTATTAAAATTAATATCATATTAGAAAAATAATATAAAATTAATATTAATATTACACATTTTAATACTTTCAAAATTTTTTTTTGATTTCATTTAGATAAAATATAAATATTGGATAAAACCATTCCGGTTATTTTATTTTAAAAATAAAATTTGTTAACATAAATAAATATAATAAAAATTATGATATTTAAACAGGAAATTAATTAGGACATCCATTTTCGGTAGCATAGTTAATTATATCAGTATGACCATTTCGAGTCGCTTCAGAAATGGTACCACTACTCCATGGACAATTATTTTCATGAGCATATTTTAAGCATAACAAATGACCATTTGCAGCAGCAAGTCTTGTTGTCTCTTCGTCCCAATCACAGCCATTTTCACGAACATATTTTAGGCAGTCTAAATTGCCATTAGCAGTAGCTCCACTCGTTGTTCCGTTATCCCATTTACATCCATTTTCATGTGCAAATATCAAACACTTAATATAATTACTCGCAGCAGCTTCCCTTGTAGTGCCTTCGTCCCACGGACACCCATTTTTGTGAGCAAATTTGAGACAGTTTAAATGCCCATTTGCTGCAGCTCCTCTCATTGTACCTTCAACCCAATTACATCCATGTCTACGAGCATATGCTAAACAATTTAAATTACCATGAACAGCTGCTGCAACTATTGTATCTTCATCCCAATTACATTCCTTATAATGAGCATAAAACAAGCAGTTTATACAATTACTTGCTGCAGCAGCTCTAGTTGTACCCTCATCCCAAACACATCCATTTTCGTGGGCATATTTCAAACACTCGTAACAACCACTTACAGCAGCAGCTCGAGTTGTACCCTCATCCCATACACATCCATTTTCGTGAGCATATTTCAAACACTTGAAAGAACTACTTGTTGCAGCAGCTCTAGTTGTACCCTCATCCCATACACATCCATTTTCGTGGGCATATTTCAAACACTTAAAACAACCACTTACAGCAGCAGCTCGAGTTGTACCCTCNGTTGCAGCAGTTCTAGCTGTACCCTCATCCCATACACATCCATTTTCGTGGGCATATTTCAAACACTTGAAACATCTACTTGCAGCAGCAGCTCTAGTTGTGCCTTCATCCCATTTATTATAACCATTTTTATGTATATATTTTAAACAATCAAAACAACCACTNATATATTTTAAACATTCAAAACAACCACTTGCTGCTGCAGCTCGAATTGAGCCTTCATCAAACATACATCCCATTTTGTGAACATATATTATAATGTCTAGATTACCCTTTACAATAGCACTTCTCATTATATTTTGATTCCATTTACAGCCATTTTCATATGCATATTTTAAGCATTGTAATTGACCATGAATTGCAGCTGCTTCTATTGTGCTTTCATCCCACGGACAATTATTTTCATNCATTCATTTTCATACGCATATTTTAAGCATTCTAAATGACCATTAGTTGCAGCTGCTTCCGTTGTGCTTTTATCCCACGGACATTCATTTTCATGTGCGTATTTTAAAATATTTAAATTACCATTATAAGCAGCTACTTCTAAAGTTCTTTCATCCCACGGACATGAACATTCATGTAAATATTTAAAATTTTCTAGATTACCATATATCGCAACAACATAAGTTGTACTCTTATTGCACGGGAATCCATTTTTAAGGACATATTTTAAAATATCTAGATTACCTGTTGCAGCCACAGTAGTAGTGAATTCATTGAATTCGTATCCATTTTTGTGAGCATATTTTAATATTTCTAGATTACCTTTAGTAATTGCACTTTTCACAATATTTAATTCATTCCATTTACAGCCATTTTCATAAGCATATTTTAAGCATTCTAAATTACCGCTTAAAGCAGCTGCTTCTGTCGTGCTCTCATCCCACGGGCAATCATTTTCATGTAAATATTTTAAATTTTCTAGATTACCAATTAAGGCAGCATTATAAGTTGTACTCTTTTTGCATGGGTATCCGTTTTGAAGTATATATTTTAAAATTTCTAGATTACATGTGGCAGCCATATTAATTGTGATTTCATTGAATTCGTATCCGTTTTTGTGAACATATTTTAATATTTCTAGATTACCTTTTGTAATGGCATTTTTTGCAATATTAAATTTATTCCATTTACAGCCATTTTCATAAGCATATTTTAAACATTCTAAATGACCATTATTTGCAGCTGCTTGTGTTGTACTTTCATCCCATGGGTATTCTTTTTGATGTGCATATTTTAAACATTCTAGGTACCCATTAGCAGCAGCAGCTGTTGTTATGTCTTTATCCAATTTATATCCATTTTCATAATTATTTTTTAATAATTCCAAGTATCTATTTTCTTCAGCTTTTCTCGACGTACTTTCTTCAAAATAGCTTAATTGTTTGTCTTCCGAAATTTTGTATTGGATTGCTAAATGAGCNATTCCGAATTTTTATATTGGATTGCTAAATGAGTACAATTATTATTATTAAATTGGCATAGTTTTTAAATTTTATCTAATTAACTTTAAAAAATATCTAGTTAAGAGAGAGACATTTCAATTGTAAATTTTATTTTTAAGGTTATTGAAATATTACAATTTGGACTTAAAATTATTAAGACAATACTCAATAACGATGTTTTTATTATAGGTTCACTATAGTCATGTTTCCTTTTCAGTTGGGTTGGGTTTAAATTAGAAATAATATGTATAGATAAAAAACATTTTATAATTAAATAGACGAAAGAATACTTTCAATTTTATATTATTTTAAGGTAGTAGTTCTCTTAATCAAGTTACTTCTATTAATGGAATTATATTTTATAGTATTGATGTATATGAAATTGATACAGTTGAGTAATCTAGCTATACATTTATTTCTGAATAATTATTCATTAAATATTATTCGAGTTTGGCAGCCATAATAAAGACTTTAAACCATTTTAACAATTCATTTATATCCTCAGTTAAACTATTTGATAAATTATAAAAATCATTATGCAAATCTCATATTGAAACAAATATTACACCAACACGACTGATACTAAAGTTTACACGAAATATATAATTTCCTATATTATAATAGTATAAGGAAGTTTAAAAAATTTTTGATGTTATTGTAACGGAAAAAGGATAGGCCTAAAAATCACTTAACCACTTACAACAAATCGATAAATAAATTATAATAAATAAAATTTGATGGTCAAAGATAAATTATTTACCCTATGTATATTATTATTAAATTATATACTAACTAGGCTCCGCCTAGCTGGGGCTCCGCCCCAGACCCGGGGCCCTTCGAGCCTTACGCGCCGAAGGCGCGTAAGTCTCTTCGGGCCGTCATCATAAGTAGGCCACTGATTCCGGTAGAAGTACCCGGCTACGCCGGTCACGATAAGTGTTTTTCAGAAAAAATATTACTTCAGAATCAGTGAAAACTATAGAAAACTGTATCTAAAAATGTTATTATTAAAATCAGGAAAATTCAAAAAGAGAATATAGTAAAATGTATTGGGTATAAGGTTGAAGCCTCTTAATGAGGTATTCCCTTTAGGCCTATTCAAAAATTATTTTAGGAGGAAATTTAATATTTTTTACTTTGTTNTTTTTTCCTTGTTCTATTATATAATAAGATATAATAGGACGCGTACATGTGTATTATTAGCAAACAGAAAAATCGTCATTTTCCGTTAAAATTTGATGAATTTCAAACGCTCGTAGCGGCCAAAGTTTTTGTCGGATCTGGGATTTTCCGATTTTTGGCGCTTCCTTGGCACGTACAGAACGCCGTGGTATGATTGCAAATCGTAAAAAAAATCGTTTTCATGTCGTAAAGTGTCGCAAGAATTTCGGGCGGCGCGCCCTGGCGTCTCGGGCGCATGAAAAAAAAAAAGCTCGTAAAACGGTGAAAAATGAACGGATTGAATTGATTTTTTTATCACATCTCAGGAATGTCATTGGGCGGGTCTGATGAAAATTTCAAACCTCAAGTCGTAAAACGCTGGCGTCAGCGAGCGTTTTTCTCGAAAACGGTCGAAATTTTAAAACGCTCGCGGGCGAGCGGCAAAAATTTTCCGACCTTCGCCAATAATTTTCCCGGAGTCTGGTGACCAAGTACTTTCGTTGAAAAAAAAATTTATGAAAATCCGAGCACGCTAAGTAATTTTCCCAGAAAAGCGTTTTTTTCCTTGTTCTATTATATAATAAGATATAATAGGACGCGTACATGTGTATTATTAGCAAACAGAAAAATCGTCATTTTCCGTTAAAATTTGATGAATTTCAAACGCTCGTAGCGGCCAAAGTTTTTGTCGGATCTGGGATTTTCCGATTTTTGGCGCTTCCTTGGCACGTACAGAACGCCGTGGTATGATTGCAAATCGTAAAAAAAATCGTTTTCATGTCGTAAAGTGTCGCAAGAATTTCGGGCGGCGCGCCCTGGCGTCTCGGGCGCATGAAAAAAAAAAAGCTCGTAAAACGGTGAAAAATGAACGGATTGAATTGATTTTTTTATCATATCTCAGGAATATCATTGGGCGGGTCTGATGAAAATTTCAAACCTTAGGTCGTAAAACGCTGGCGTCAGCGAGCGTTTTTCTCGAAAACGGTCGAAATTTTAAAACGCTCGCGGGCAAGCGGCAAACATTTTCCGACCTTCGCCAATAATTTTCCCGGAGTCTGGTGACCGAGTACTTTCGTGGAAAAAAAAAATTTTGAAAATCCGAGCACGCTAAGTAATTTTCCCAGAAAAGCGTTTTTTTCCTTGTTCTATTATATAATAAGATATAATAGGACGCGTACATGTGTATTATTAGCAAACAGAAAAATCGTCATTTTCCGTTAAAATTTGATGAATTTCAAACGCTCGTAGCGGCCAAAGTTTTTGTCGGATCTGGGATTTTCCGATTTTTGGCGCTTCCTTGGCACGTACAGAACGCCGTGGTATGATTGCAAATCGTAAAAAAAATCGTTTTCATGTCGTAAAGTGTCGCAAGAATTTCGGGCGGCGCGCCCTGGCGTCTCGGGCGCATGAAAAAAAAAAAGCTCGTAAAACGGTGAAAAATGAACGGATTGAATTGATTTTTTTATCACATCTCAGGAATGTCATTGGGCGGGTCTGATGAAAATTTCAAACCTCAAGTCGTAAAACGCTGGCGTCAGCGAGCGTTTTTCTCGAAAACGGTCGAAATTTTAAAACGCTCGCGGGCAAGCGGCAAACATTTTCCGACCTTCGCCAATAATTTTCCCGGAGTCTGGTGACCGAGAAATGGGTAATTTTCCCAGAAAAGCGTTTTTTTCCTTGTTCTATTATATAATAAGATCTTTTTAAAAAAAGCTTTAATCATATATTTTATGATGAAAAATAGTAGGAAAACTTAATTTAACACTAAGCTAATGTATTTCAAAATATTTTATTACAAAATTTTTAAAAATAAATTATAAATATAAATTAAAATTTTCTATAATAAATCTGAATTAATATTTGTTTATATGATTCTTTAAACAAATAATTATGATTGTAAACAATTTATAAATTATTATTGATAATGCCTTCGGTTTTTGAAAAAGTTTTATTCAAACTGAAATACATCGATAATTTTAAATAACACAAATGTTAAAAATTTTAGTTGGAATTGTATATTAAGTTATATTTTATAATTATTTATCTAAATATATTATTATTGTCAAAATTTATTGTAATTATTATACTAAAAACTAATGGAATAACATGTTTTACTTAAATAATAAGACGTAAAAAAATGTAAACAATATTTTTTTAAATAATTATAATAGAAAATAATTTTAATTGATTTTTTTTGATAAATTATAAATAAATATTTAGAAAAGTTTTTTATTTGATTAAAAATTTATTCATCCATTATTTATATATAATTTTGCTTAAAATTGAACAGCTACATATGTTTGAAAACGTCCAGATACGTTAAGTAAGATTTTTTTTATCACTCCAAAATTTATTTTAATTAAAAAAGTTTTTGCAGTTTTAACAAAAAAATGGTAGCACGTGGAGTTTTGGTACAATGTGTTCGTGGCATAGTTTGAATAATAATGTAATTCAAAAATTATAATGTAGTTGTATATTTTGTTACCTGAATGGTAAACATGTATAAAATTGAAGCGCTTGATGCAAAAAACTGTTTTAAATTAATACTGATTTTGATTAATATGTTATAAATAAGCAAAATAACATATTTAACCTATTTTTTTAATCGTTTAAAGTTGATTTTCGTAAATGTTTATAATGAAAAAAATAATTTATTTTACCATAATATTAGCTCAATTGGCAAGTTTTATGAAATTTTAAAAAAATTATGAGAATTAAAAAAATTGTATCGTTAAGATTAATTTGCAGTCAGAAAGTTTTATAATTACTATTTATTGTAAATTTATCAGAAAAGCTCAATATTTTTTTGCATTTTTATGGTAATAGATAACTTAAATAGAAGTAATAGTAATAATTTCCTAGGAACTTTTGTTGTTTGTTGAAAAGATTCTATAATTGAAATATTGAGAACTTAATTAATTTTAATGATTTACTTTAACTAAATGTACCAATCAAAACAAAGTTGTTAAAAAGATTTACTCAATT